ATATATATATATATATATATATATAACTATACTTTTTCGAAAAAACCTTCGAATTTTCGATTTGCCAATAATCAAATCAATCTCGAAGAAAAAAAAGGTTTTAAAAAAAGAAAGAGCTAGAAACATGAGAGTCTGTCGAAAAAAATCGCACAGATACAGGTTTAAAGCCCAAAGAAAAAAAAAACCCGACACGAGTAAACAACTAACTAAAAAGCTCAATAAAACCGTAGAGCAGACCTAGATAAACCTAGTGAGCCAGACAAACCTATCCAGGTTTCACTTAAGCGGATCATCGGGGAAAGTTGGCCAGCTTTCCCTGACGATCCGCTTAGGTGAAACCTGGGTAGGTTTGTCTGGCTCACTAGGTTTATCTATCTATATCTTGAGACTGGGGAGGCTTCTGCAAGTTTTCTTACACACCATTCCTTCTTAATTTATTTACAGCTTACTACTGGGCATAATTTGTGAAATGTCTCCATTTATGACTCTTTTGTGAGCGGATGTATATGTTGAAAGATAAATACGTGTGTGTCATGAAATTCCCAGAACAATCATGGCAGACTCGGGACGTGAGTTCACGTAAAGCAATGTAGGAAACGAAAAGAACCAATATATATATATATATATATATATATATATATATACAAAAAAATGATAATGTATTAACAACAAAGGATTACATGTGACAAAGACAACAATATGTGTGACAAATGAATGTGAAAGCTGATTATGTGGAGTATGTGAATGTTTGTACGTACGTGTGTGTGTGTATGTATATATTGTTCCTGAGTTTCCCAAAAGAGAACACGATCTTCCGCGAGATATTTACATGTCGAATAAGCGGAAAAGTGACACTAGGTTACTACTGACGGGTAGGAGTTTGTCTGCATCAGCTTATTATTATTATTATTATATTTCTATTTCCTTGTATTTCTTTTGTGTACTCATTTATTTCCAGGATCCCTCCAGAGACCTAAGGTCAGAAATGGCGCCATGACTTTATCCATTGACCAATTTAAAAAAAAAAAGGATCACACATATTTTACATAGATAAAGTTCTTCGTACGGTGTGGGCTGTATTCATGACAACAATTTTTTGTATTTCTTTAAGTCATGGGCTCCAGGAATACCATCAATGAGTATTGGAATCTTTTCCAATCAATCCTAGGGTTCAACTACAACTAGAATTATTGATGTCCTCGTGTGCCACAGAGAATTTCGATTTCAAGGTCCTTGTAATTTGATATTTTTCGAAGATCTTCAAAGATACATTGGATTCTAGAGAGACTGCCGTGTCAATAAGAAGGCACTTTTTGTCTTTGCGATCCCTAATCACGATGTCTGGACGATTAGCTTTGATTGTTCTGTCCGTGTGGATTGTGAAGTCCTATCTCCGTAATCGGGTCTGGGTGTATTGTTGCTTCGAGACCTCATATCTTTTATTAAAGACTGAAGAAACTAACGCGTGATTGCTTCGAAACCTCTATTCTCTAACTGATTCCATTTATTGTCACAAAGAACAATTTTCTAATTGGATACTGAAGAATTTGTCGCGCGCGATTAGTTCGTTTTTTTATATTAGTCTATTTCTCAGATCAATTAACTGACTGAAACCTTAGAAAGGTCTGTTGCAGGAGCATGCCGCTGGTGTTTAGAGTGGGAAAATACGTGTCCCCTGGTATACTTATTCCACAAAAAAAATGTCGGACTTGGACTGTGAGTCTGGGTAATAAAGAACAAAGTAGTAACAAAACTATATATATAAACAAACGATAAGTATGTATTAACAAAATAATGGTATGCATAGAAAATAGAATATTGTTGCGTGTTAAAACAATGAACATGAATGAAGAAAACATTTAAACTAATGAATTGTTTGCGCGTGTGAAGTTGTGTTGAAGGAGTTCTAGAGAATATTAATAAAAAGTGAATAGGAAGGTGATGTTGAGCGCGCAGGCGTGTGTGTGTGTGTGTGTGTGTGTGTGTGTGTGTGTGTGTGTGTGTGTGTGTACCCAGGCTGAATTTCTCCACTTAGTGACCTATATTTTACTATACTTGGGGGAAATAGGGAAAAGAGAGGATGACAGATAATGTCATTGTTTATTTATAGGCTTATGAGCGTCCCCTATCGACGTTTTTTTTAGCAAAGTAAGTGGGTTAACTCCACAGGCCTTACGTATCTTCTTTCATATTTGATAGTGCGTCCGAAAAAATTCCCTGACTATAGGCCCTGACTTACATATGGCAGATGCTAATTTTGTTAGTCGAAATGTAAATGGAATTAGAATCTCCAGATAAAATGCAAAGTTGTATACTTACGAAAACAGTCACTTGATTAATACAATAATTAAAAGATAATAACCGATTTAGAGAACAAACAGGTGCGAAAACGTGATAAAAATTAACAATTGGAAACAAATAATCGTTAAATGAACAAGACCAATCATTGCTTATAGCTTTTAAGACTGTTATCGTTTGTAATTTAATGTGTGAATAATTAAAAGTTTCGTAATTTTATTCACTTTACTTTCGTTTCGATAATTCAACAATCGGCTTTAGTGTTTGATATTTTGTTTTTAAGATTTATTTGCGTCGAGCTAAATTCACTTTTAAAACTCCATTGTATTTTCACAACTTTCTTAAGTTTTAAAATGTATTTTCTATTTAATCGTGAACGAGATGACTTTGGTTCCCGTCTGGAAAGATGAATCTAGTCATAGCCCGGTAGCATGTTTTCTGTCTCTGTAGAATACATAAAGACACGTGTGCATATTTGAATACCCATAGTAACTCCAGAGGTGATGAGTTAATCCGTCGACGAAGTGGCAGAAAGCAAAGTGATTACGTGATCTCGTTTTTTTATCATTTCACCCCAAGCAAGACAATAATGTCATTACGACGCAAGAGATTACTGACTATAAATTGCAGTTGTTCTGTTTTTACAATTTATACAACATACCGGGTGCGATGAATAAATTGTCGTTTAAATTACATAAAAAAATTGAAAATAACATTGCCATCTTATTTCAACAGATATATTTACAAAAATTACACAAAAATATCTTGAAATACTAAAGAGTAAATTTATTCAATAAAATTGCCATTGGCTTCAATCATGGTTTTCATATGGCTTCGGAATCTCTTGCAGCTCTTCCGGATGACCTCCTTGTTTAAGTTGGTGAATGCTGCCATAATCCTTGCCTTCAGTTCATCTTTGGTGTTATATGAGTTTCGATGGTCTTTCACTCAACTGCGCCCACACATAATAATCAAGGGCTTTGCAGTTTGGGGAGTTAAGTGGCTAGATGTAAGGGGTGATGTGGTCACAGAAATTATCTCATAGCCATGACTGTGTTCTCCTGCTTGGGTGACATGTTAACGTGCAGTTGTCAGACATAGGATCTTCTAGCAGCTACCTTCTTTACCCAGATCAGCACTCAAGATATTTGATATCGGCCCCCGTGTTGAATCTGAGGCCTTCACCAACAAATTCGGAATTTCGTTTCTTATCAGAACGATCAGAGCTGCTGTACCTTCGTAATCACCATTAGACTCATCCAACTCTTATCGTATCCTCTGCACGGTCCTCAGATTGACACTCAAACACTCTGAAATGTTCGTATTAGAGATTCCGGCGCGAGTGCCAAGCAATACAGCATGCCGTTTTCAAATTTCTGTCGGAGTGAACTACGTCATGGTGCTCTTTTTCTCCCAACTGACCTTACTATACTGTGCAGCCGACAAAATCAAAAAACTCAACGCGCATGCGAGAAATTAAACATGAAATGGCGACAATTTACCCATCGCACCCCTAATATTTGTTGTTGATTATGTACATTTCGTATTGATGGTTTGTTGTTCGTCCGTTTTTTTTTTAATCATTTCATCCCAAGCAAGGCAATAAAGCCTCTAAGACGCAAGGGGGTTACTGACTGTGGGAGGAAATGAGAAAAAAGAAAACATTATTAAGGAGAGAGAACATTGAAAGAATCGGGAGGAAGTGGACAGAAGATAACGATTGTCATTGCATTTAAATATTTGAAGATCAAATTTAACTAGAATGTAAGAAGCCTGAAGAAATTTCCAGAAGTGAGCAGTGCTACAGAAGAAAATTTTAGAATTGATCTTACATCTAGAAATTTCAACTGTAAAATCTCGCTATCAATTTCGCTTAAATTCGTAAAGTCTAATTACCAAAGAGGAAATCTCATCAGAAGACTTACTTTGAAAATAGTTATAAGAAAAGGCCACCTTGCAGTTGTGAGAAAGTGATTGAAGCTGAAATGCCAGATCAGGACCGAAAACATGGCAGATTCTTTGGATTTCATAAAAACTCTTTAAATACATAGTAGTTTCGTATTACTTAAAATTAATAGCGAATTAATTGTCATCCTGTGGTTGCCACTAAACACGGCATTCTACGTTGTCACTGGCAGCCATCGATAAGGTAAACAACGCGAAATCTAAATAAAGAAGGAAAGAGAAATTTTCAAACTCGAAATTTAATTAACAAACTGAAAATAAGCTATACGTTTGGAATTTTAAGAAGGTTCATATTAAAGACCTACGTAAGGCCCTTTATTCCCAGTAGGGGGATGATGGATTTTATTTCTGGCCTTATACCATATTTGGACATTATCACCACCATCTTGGAGCATATTTCATTTTAATAACGATGGGGGTAATATTCAAAAGAGATTTCAAACATTTTTCCAATTATATCCTAAATTTTATCCAACACATTTTTTTACTGAATCAATAAAGATTGGCATAGCACCAAATTATATTTTAGTAAACGTTTTTCAGAAATTAACGTTTATGGCCTCTCGTAGCCATAGCTCATATTAAAACTGTAAACATGAAAACATATTTTTTTTATTTTTCATTCATTAATTTCCGATGACCTAAACAAAGTTATCAGAAACGATTATAACTTTGGATTCCGGCTAAGTATATTTCAGATGGAGGTCTGCTTTATACGCTTAGCAGCCATATTATATAAAAAAACCGATTCCCGTACAATCACCGAAGTTAAGCAACGTCATTCCTGGCTAGTACCTAGAAGGGTGACCGTTTGGGAATATCAGCTGCTGCAAGATTTGATGTGCAGCTGGTGTAATAGATAACGGATTGGAAATCGGAGAGCCGAGTTTTACTTCCAGTCGTGGTCTTATATTCATTTACGCGGAAATACCCTTAGGATAAAGTATGAATCCACTCTTTTTCCCCCCCAGTTATGGATTAATTAGTAAGACTTGCTCATTATTACATCTAAAATAATATTACATTCTAAAAACATTTTCCGGCTTTGAATAATCTTCAAAAAGAAGATAAACCGCAAAAAACAAATCAATCTCTATCTATAAAAGGCAGGATGTGTGTGTGTGTGTGTGTAACGAATGAACGACCGCAATTTTCGACGGATTTGCACCAAAATTTACATGCACATGCTCCTTTTAGTGGTAAGGCCAAGACCGACATTGCATTTCCCAACTCCCATCGATAGTGGAAATAATCGATTTTTCATGCTTCTACGGCAGTTTTCATGTAGTTTGCGGTTTTTTTTTACTGGCCAGAGTGAGAGCCTATAGCTGGCTGCTACGAATAGGCAGGAATATTCTATTGGCCAGCGTGAGTCAACAGTTGACTGACACGAATGTTAACTAGCATGCTAGCATGCAAAAAAAAATCGATAGCTGCATTCGTCACAAATGGAAAAAATTTAAATCTGCATGGCACTTTACTCCAATTGGCTCATTCGCTTGCTTAAACTCAACGTTGATTCTGATTCCGCAGAACTGGGTTGGGTGAAAAAAGTATTTGTTGTTAACATTCTTTTTTCATTCGGTTTTTCCAGTTACGAGTCCTTTTTTAAAGCTGATCGTTTTGTGTTCATTTTATTTCGTTCTTTTTTCGTAACAGATTTAATGTTTAGTATAGAGCTTAGAAAAAAATCGCAGTGTGAAATAGGCAAGAAGTAAGGCATGTAGCAACATCAGTACGGCAAAGGGCATTCCTTTAAAGGCAAGGAAGGACAAAAATATTTTAAGTCAAAAGATAGCGATTGCTGTATGAGTCGTACGATTTTTGAATCAAGCACAGGCAACGCCGGGCCATACTGCTAGTCAATCAATAAACGGCTAAAAGAAAAAGAATCTGCTTCGAATAAAATGATGGGCACAAAGTGAGGATCCTGTTTGAAATTATATTGAACCCGTCGCTTGCTATAATCTTAAAGAATTTTGGAAGTTTCAGAAGCCAGTACATTAGAAACCTGTTTTGATGTTTCAATCACGGAAAGTTTGGAGAAGAAATGTTTATGTCGTTGAGCAAAAATGGCATTTGGAGAATTATAGTGATATGTCAATTTTTTCTTTTAAAATTTCGATTTTCTTTTTTTACGTGCAATTATATATTGATTGAAAATACTACGGACTTTTGTTTAATCATTTCACCCCCAAGCAAGGCGATAATGCCGCTAAGACACGAAGCGGTTACTAGGAGTGAAACAGAATGAGAAGACTTTAGTGAGGAGAAAGAACAATGAAGGAACATGATTAAAGAAGACAAGATGGCGATTGACGTTCAGTGTGGTGATTAATAATTGTATTTCCGTTTCAGAGGCGTTAAAACTTATAAACATTTTCTTGCTCCAGTTAACAATTGATTGGAGGTCATTTTCAAGAGCAGCTGTCCATTGTACTTTGTTGGTTATTTATTTTTTAATCGGTATCACACCCATGCAAGGGAGTAAAGTCACTAAGACACAAGGGGGTTACAAAATGTGTGGAAGAATTTGGAACAGAAATATTAATGATGAGCGGAAGAGGAAAGAGTAATCAGGAGGGCAGTAGATAACGATTGACATTGCGTTTAAATTTTTGCAGATTAAAGTTGGCTGGAAAGCATGGAGCTGGAAGGGTGTTCCACAAGCGAGAAGTTCGAGAAAACAGCATAGAATTTACGGTTACATCTAGCCAGCTCAATTGTAAATTGATGAGATCTCGACGCCAAACAGTACTGTGCTTAAATTCAAGAAGTCTAGATACCATAGCATAGAGCGATATTTACTTGTAAATATTTACAAAATGTGGCACAAGGCCAAAATGGACCATGGGGGAAAATGACGGTCTTCATCTATCTTAACTTTAAACTTAGCTAGCCACAAAATCTGACCCAGACATATCACAATATTTCTAACACTAAAACAACACATTCTTACCATAGCGAAGAGCGATATTTAAACTGATATATACACAGAAATGTGGCATAAGTCCAAAATGTGGATTGGGGAAAATGGACGGACTTCTTCTGTCTTAACGATAACTTAGCTAGCCACAAATGCTGACCCAATCATACAAACAATATTCCTTACACCAAAACAACACATTCTTACGTACCTTTCTTACTACATCCACCATAATACCCCATTGTCTCTATGAAAATACTAACTAGTCGTCATATGTACAATTCATTGTCTGTGGGGGTAGGGGAATAAAACAACAATTTTAAAAACCAACCCCAGTGAGTATTACCATAGCGAAAAGCTCATCAGAACAATTACCATGAAAGTATTTATAGAATAGACACAGAGTGGCATCCCTACAGCGGTGGGAATGTGACTTAAGCTGAGCTGCCAGACCAGGACCAAAAATATTGCTGATTTTTCTTTGGATTTTATCAAGGAGCTCAAGGTAAATAGCAGAGGCAACCGACCATAAGTGGCAGTCATATTCTAAGCATGAACGAATGGTAGACTTATAGATATGTCAGATAGATTCTAAAAATTGTCTCGCCCGACAAAATGAACCAACTTTCTTAGCAGCTGACCTAGTAATGGATTCAAAATAGTCTTTTCACTTCATGTCAGTAGAAAACGTGAGCCTAAGAAGGAGCAACGAGTCACTTGCCTAGAGGTTAGCATCCACCATGTTGATGGAAGGCAGCGAGGGTTCTCTCAGATGATTAATGGAGAGCAGTTTACTTTTGGAGGTGTTACAATTAACAAGCCGCCTCTTACCTCAGCTAACGACGGACTTGATGTCGTTTGTACATTGGCTGCCATTTTGATCTGATTGAACTGATGAGCCTTACTCTCGAGGCAGGAGTAAATGGTCATCAGCGTAATTCAAAGTTGAGAGTTGATGTCATCGGGAAGGTCAGTAATAAAAAAAAACAAAAAAATAAAATAAAATAAAATAAAAACAGGGACTTACTATTAATAAAAGAGTAAATATTTGTGTCATTCAACATTTTTCGAGTTGGAAACTGATGAAGTCCGGACGGTCATTGATGAAGATATGAAACAACGTAGGTTCAGGGATAGAACCTTCGGGGACACCCGCATTAATGTGAAATGAATTAGAAGTGTGACCTTTCAACTAGACTTTCATTAAATGATTTGGATAGGCCAAATGTTTGGTCGGAGATACCATAGTTCTTGAGCTCGTGGAGAAGGCCAGCAAGACAAAGCTTGTGGAACGCCCTTGAGATATCTAAAGCCACAGCCAGAGCCTCGCTGTTGTGCCCCTCATCCCAATTTCAATAAATATTATGAGCACTAGGGAGATTTTATTACTTTTTTTTATTTGAACGCATATTTTTAAAATAAGATTTCGAGAATATTCAGGTCGGTAAATGAAAGTAAATAAACATCTACTCAAATATGGGTATCCACTAAAAAATAAAAATAACGTTTAAGTTATAAGATCTGTCAGATTATTAAATAAAAATCGATTAATTCTTTAGAAATGCTTTGTTTACGTTAACGGAGCAGATATAAATATTTCAAGAGGTTGGTAGAGATTTGGATTTATAAGTATTATTCAACATTGCTTGATCATCGACGCACTTCGTCACGGAGACGAGCTAACGACGGTTTTTAAGCTAAGAGAGATGCAGGTAAGAAATCTGTTATAGAGAATAATATTTATTGAATGTTCAGAAGAATTGAAAATAAATACGAAAAAGATGAAAATAAATAAATATACTGTTTAGTAAATAAACGGAGCGTCTACTCAAATATCGGTATCCACTTAAAAAAGCAAAAAAAAAAAAACCCCAAAAAACAAAAACGTTTTAGTAATAAAATCTGTCAGACTAATAAATGTAAATCCGCCATTTCTTTAGAAATTACACTAGGATGAGAAAAAAAGAAAAAAAAGGTTTATCTGGGAGATTTTATAAATATCAGTTATTGTTAATTGTCTCAACGATTTGGGTAAAATGTTCAGGATATACCTTTTTCTTTTATAATTTAGTTTACTTAATATCACTTGTGGATTTATATATATATATTTTAATCCGTCTTATCCAATGCAAGGTAGTACAACCATTAACACGCAAGGGATTACAGGATTAGGAATAGAAACATTAATAATGATCAGAAAGCGAAAAGTGCAATCAGGAGGCCAGTAGATAGCGATATCTTTTGCAGATTAAAGTTGGTTGGAAATCATATGACCGGGAAGGAGATCCACAAACAAGAAGTACAGGATAAGAAAGTAAAATTCCGGCCACATCTTGTTTGCTCAACTGTAAATTTATGTAATCTCATTTTTATCCGGTCAGTTACCCTTGTAATAATTACAGTCTAGATAACATGGCGAAGAGCTCATCCGAACAAATACCGTGAAAGTATTTATAAAAAAGGCACAGAGGGGCAACCTTACGGCGGTGAGCCAGTGACTGAGGCCGAGCCGTGTGATCAGACCCAATAATATTGCTGATTCTTCTTTGGACATTATTGAGGTGCCCCAGGAAAAATAGCTGCAATATTTTAAGCATTGACGAATAGTAGACTTATAGATATGCAAGATAGATTCCGGAGAGATAAATTATTTCACTCGACACAGTGAACCGTCTTTTAAGGCTGCTGATCTAGTGATGAATTCAGTATAATCCCTACCCCACCCATGTCAGATAAGAGCGTTAGCCTGAGAAGGCGCAATGAGTTTCATTTGGTGGATAGCATGAATATCATGATGATGAATATAAATTTTCAAAATTATAAATATCAAGGCGTTAAAATTGACATTCCATTTTTTAAAAATTTAACGACGGTTTTTTTAAGGTCTTTTTGTATATCGAAACCATT